TGTCCTTGTTTAATTTGGTAAACGACAAGGATGAAATAATTCCACGAGCGATGTAAGCGTTAAATGGATCGCAGCCTATATATTCATAGAAAAAGTATGATTTATTTAAATTCTTAAACAATTAAAAATAAATTGATGCGCAGTATAGATATATTGAATGCACGGACATTGACGAAGTTTGGAAAGAGACTCACTTTAAAATTCGTACATGATGCTCTATAATTATCGCCAATCTCTCATTTATGTTATCACATAAATCTTTCCGTCCGTCTATCAAGTGTTTGATCCACTCTATCAGGATCTCCATGCGGCCATAAGCGTGCATCGCGAATACGGCAGCTATGCTGCATCCAGTGGCAGTGATAGAGTGAGCGAGAAAGCCTGATAGGCACTGTATCCAAAAAAAAATTTCGCTGACAGGACTGTGTCGTACATCGATAATCACCCTGGCGACTGGATACGTCAGTGGCCGATATGTCAGATTACCCTCATTTTCTGTAATTTTGCTGACACTGAACGGTAGAGCAAGATCGAAGAAAACGGCACCGCCGTACATAAAGAACATACAAATTGCCACAAGGTGCTGGCCAAATTTCGCGCTCCTAATCATCGTCATCCGATCACTGTAATACCGAGTATTTATCCAGTCACTCTCAATATATTTGATACCATTGCGAATATCTTCTTCATGAAAAATCAGCGAAAAATACTTCACGATGGCCAATACGCAGAAACTCAATGCTCCAGAATGTCTCAAGATAAGGTATCCATTATCCATTTCCATTTCAAGCACTATGTAGATGAGAGCGGGTATGACGAGGAAGCTAATCAAACCGATACAAAAAACGTTTAATAGCGTGTACGCGTATCTCTCTGTCGATGAGATCACGGTAGATTTTGGCCACGCGCCTATCATCTCCATCATCCAACGAATCAGCTGAACACTCAGCCTCATATCTTTCTTGTAATCGTAAATAGTCGCGATCGAATTTGTCTTCTCTGTGATAGTTCCATACATGTTGAGGGAGCGAAAACTCAATGATGACTGATCGGATAGTCTGAGCGTACATGCGAGGAAAGTCAAATGCGACTGCGCTACTTCGCACGACCTTTCTAGGAAAAAGACGTCAAGCAGGATACAGAGGGTTAAACTTTGCAAACGCAATTCTTCATTTCCGTAGAAAGAGGATTCCCTCATGTGATACTGCACATTGTCTAACTATGAATTATGAACGGAGTGAATTGCGTTCCTCGCGTAGATATTTTCTACAACTTGTCTGGATGGATCGCAACCGGTTTTTTCTTGCGTATAAGGCATTATTACACGTGGATGAGAGAATAGAATTACGTACTTGTACATATTTCGTAATGCTTATACAAATCGTATGAAGATAAAAATATTACTACAATATTTTTTTTTAATAAAAAAAAATGATTTTTCTAATGTATAATATATTTTCAAATTATAAAAAAATTATAGTATAATAAAATAGAATTGCATTTTAATATTAAAATAACATTTTAAAAATTTATTTTTTTAATTGAGAAGCTTTAGACCATCTATATTGAAATTTGTCTATGCATTTAGTCTCAATAAAATGAATAAAATTCCAATATTTTCGATTTCGCTTAATTTTATCGCAAGCGGCAAAGCTTTTACTAAGAAAAATTATAATGAGAAATATGCAAAAGATAAACTAGCATCTTTTACTTTGAACAAATATTATATCAGTGTACGTAGCATGTTTAAGTAGGTCGACTTTTTTGCACTGTTTACAGGATTGCTTTTCTCATTTCTTTTATTTGTAACATGACTAGACTTACGCTACTAGGAACTATTTTCTACAATGGATTCTAAATTTTATAAATTTATTATTAAATTTATAATATTTCAGCCACTGTAAAAATATATTGTAAAAGTATATAAAGTATATATTCTGTGAATATACCATGCATACAAAGTACATAATTCTGGATCTACAACAGGTGTTTTAAGCCTTAAGTCGTAAGAAATTAACTAATTAGTCGAATTTGAGCAAGATAATCGACTGATGATTTGTCCATTTCTTATGGCTTAAGGCTTAGAACTTTATTGTAGATCCGAGGTAAGACATTAAATTTATTACAATCGCGGATAAGTTTTTTATCTTTTCTGTTACAAGCTCGCCAATGTAGCAGAATATAAAAATAATAAACGTAATAGATGTAAGCAGAAGAATAAATGTTGTAAGGTTCATAGACTGTCTAGTCTCCAATTCTTGTAATGTAAAGATCTATTCGAGAACGCGTAAACAATTGCCATTAATTTCTAATATTACTTCAAAATTACAATACACTTGGTAAAGTATGTACATACTTTTTGTATGTATATATCGTGATAGAAAAATATCCAAGAAGACACATGTTTAATATACATGTTTAACATAATTTTCACGTAGGACCTTCTTTGTCTGTTTTA